ACCAAAAATTCATTCATAAAAAAAATTCACCGATTCATTCATAAAAAAAAATTCATAACCACATAAGAACTGTATTCATTTCCGTTCAATAAATATTCAAATCAAATCAAATCAAATAATTTATTTGTAAAAAATAGGTAAAAAGTTACAAACTTGGTGGAAAAGATATGATGAAGTAACACTATGATTCGCCTACAAAGGCATACAAATATTTGTTTATCATTATCACCTGGCAATATGAAAATTAATTTTTAATAAAATAACAATTTCTATTATAATTAGTATGCTTAGAAATAACATTAATTATTATCTTAATTATCAATTACATAAATATAAACATATAATAAATAAATCGTCCATTAATTAATGTAGGTACTAAAAACCATTCATTTTATCTTCAAAGTATTCGTTGATAGAGTAGTATGCTTTATATATTAAAAAACTCGAAAGCAATTTCTTAAATTTGTCTATATTATCAGTTTCTATGATGTTTTTTGGGAGTTTATTAAAAATTTTAGGAGCCATACCCAGGAAACTTTTTGCAAACTAAGGCTTATTAATAAGGCTTACTAAGAACTGTTTCTACCACAGTTAAGTAATAGTTAAGGGTGAAAGCGTGACAGGTGGTGATAGTATTTCTGATCCATACTTATAATCACGCCTGTAACCCTTGCCCCCGTAGGCAGAGCATCAACGGAGTACTTAATATCGTGTGCGAGGTTATCGCCTATTCTGTGAATTACAATGCACCAAAACGTTTGAAGAAAATCAGCTGGTGAATTTTATGTTTTTTATCGCTCTCTTCCCGGTCCTGCGTGGAAAAATACAGATCCATACATTTTTTATCTTAATTTTGGTAAAAAGACATAATAATCCAGATAGACTGTTCGTCCATCATACCTGTCCGTCTTGTAGAATCACGGCGGCGCCACCTAGCTGAATTTAATTTTACAACATATTCGATTTTCCCACGGGAACGATATGTTTTTCCGCTGAAAAAAGTATATATGCCTATGTCATCTTCTACAGCCACCGAACTATCCCCATACCAAAATTCATGCCATACCGACGCTCTGTTGCGCGAAAGAAGGAACAACACACACTTTCATATTAGTATGTATAAAAATATTAGCAAACAAAATCAACACTTATTATGAAGAAAACTCTCAGAACGCGTCGTAGCTCACAAATTAACGAAACTGGACAAAATTTTTTTGTAGTTTACGGCATTTTGTTAGTATGAAACGACGTACGTACGAAACGTACGAAAAACGGATATCACAACGTATTTTTGCAGTCTTTACAAACGGGTGTAAGTAAAGATAGCAACAGTGTGCGAGCGAGTGGTAAATAGAGGCGACGCTATTTTCAATCCAATTCTTTAACCGCACGGGTACTATGTATGCACGTACCCGTGTATACATATAATATAACTAGGTGCAACGCAGATCAAAATTAGTACTCATTTCTCATTATCTCAATATACTGAAAAAAAAGTCAAAGAAATTGTTCAGTCTTGTAAGTCGTGTTCCCGAGTTACTAAATAATGTGATGTAGGCAAATCTGGCTCTCACTTCCCGCATTTCGCCCTTCCCGCCCGGCAGCATTGCTCTAACTAGATGTTTTCGTTCTATTCCGGATTTATTAGACTGTGGCACCGACACGTCGCATGTCTTGGTGACCAAAGCCTTAAATTTATTTATATATATATATATATATATATATATATATATATATATATATATATATATATATATATATATATATATAAATTATATCCCGCGATTCGCTTACACACTGTAATCACACCGACACATGTCGTTTATACACAAAATTTTCTTTCAACAAAGTGGATATTGTTTTGATAGATAGCCTCGACAGTTCATCACAGGAAGATAATGCAGAATTCGACTTACGTATGTTACTTTTAAGTAAAACCAGGGAGCTTCGATACTGGATATCAAATCGTATAAAGTTTAGAGAAAAATATAGTACATTTAGAATTTTTTAATAATTGTATGAAGAAAAGTTACGAATACAAAAGGAGTATACGCACTACGAACAAGTTCACTCAGGTAATGAGTTAACGACAGAGCTGAGCTGACAGACTCGAACTGACGTAGGCGAACGTAAGGGGGCGCGGTACAGGGGGCGAAATATAATATGAAAAAAAAAATATCGTTCGTTCGAGTAAATATTTACAGTATGAGTTGCAATATATATTATATCTCAGTGTAAACGGTTCCATTTAAATGTACGGTGATCAATATTAAGTTATACTTCGAGATGTAATATAAATTATATAATAATATCACATAGTGAAAAGCGAGCTTTACCCATATGGTGTTGGGAGATTTATAATGTTTACCATTTTGTGCGGCTACTATCAATAAGTAATTACTACCAATACAATATTAGCTTACGATTAGTTTCTAACAAACTTCGTCATAACACAAATCGTTTTCTAGTTTCGGCCGAATATTAAAATCGACCCAAACTACTTTACATTAATGCTAGCACAGTTGTTGAACAAACTAAAACTATTAAATTTATAATTATAATGTGAGCTAAGCTTTCAAAGTCACAGGCACCCAGAATATGTAAGTTACGTAAACATTTATTGTTGTGATCCCAAAAATCGTTGGTGTGCGTGGATATTATGTGAAGAACAATACACGCGTGTGGATTTTTTACGCTATAGTTATAGGACGTTTGAATATATGAAATCGTTTGACTATTTGATTGATCGCCATAAAAATTGTGATATGTATATGTTTTTCAATGGAGAAGGTTTATATTTATAAACTAAAAATTGAAAGAAAAAATTAAAAAACAATTTTTAATGTTTGATTTTATTTGCTTTTTTTCAATCAAGCGCGGTCAATAAACTAAATTGCATGCGCTGAAACAAAATTACAAAAAACGTTGCTGAACACAACCTTATGATATTAATTGACAGGGCCCCGTCTGCCGGGCTCAGCTAGTACGTACATAATAGTTTGTGTGTACGCTTTTAAAATAAGACACCTAATAGCTTAAAAATATTAACTACCAATTTTTTTAAATTCATATTTAGTAATTAACTGAAAGTAACTTCTGTAGCGTTAAGGATTTTTCTAGCCATAAATATTAATGTATAAAAAAATTGCATGCTTTGTATTACCGTAGGAAAACATGGTGATCTGTAACGTTATGTAAAATCTTTTGTATACCATGTTTCTGAAAATAAAATATTATTACTATTATTCAAAAGCCTTTCCTTGAAAATCTTATGCTCTAAATAACATGTCCATGTCTGTCTGTCCAAGTGTTCAGACTGTAATCTAGTAAAAGCTTAACGTCGGCCTGTCCCTGTCCCTGTTACATATTTTTCTATTTGGAATCTTTAGTAAAAGAGTAGGTTATTTTCGGTTGTATTTTTTTTAAATTGTTTTAGATAATGTATCCGAGGTTTTTATATCAAAGGTGAATATATTTTTACTGTGATTCTATAAAATTTTTGACCTATCCCGGTAATAATTTAAAGTGTAAAAGTTAGCTTATATATATTCCAGTGCTGGCCATAGCCCGCCCTAATTTTTGTGATTTTAATGCGCATTGAACGATTAATTTCTTGCCAGGTTCCAGTGCGTGGCGGCGGACTCCAGATGTTGTTCTATAAATATATTGTTTTCCTGACAAGCGACTTTCTTGAGATATTTTCTTTTACCACAAAGCACATGGGCAATTGGCATTTAAATTTGCTACTACCGATGTCATTAATGCCTGTAGAGTTCGAACCCAGGTTGCTCGCGTAGCGCGGGCTGGGAAATTTACGACGAGCATTTAACGCCTAAGCTACAACAACTCAAGACATACATTTACTTAAATAATCATCAACATCAATGAAATAGAATCGGTGATAATCGTCATTAAACTCATTTAAATCTTAATTGGAACGGATTGGCAAATGGATTACTATCGGAAAACTTACGCTACGATAACATACCCAGGACAGATAAGTTATAATCTTAAATATACGATTTAGTTTTTATCAAAAGTGAATACACCGATTGAAATTAATCTTCTATTTTTTTTAGTTATGAGGGCTGGTTGATATGACGATAGTCTTAATGACTTATTTGTACCTATTAGCTTGTTTGTTCCTATCAGTGGTAAATATCTATCGACTTCATAAACTACTTTCCCTTCATAACTACATTTTGACATTAAAAACAAAATAATGAATACATTTAAAGATATATATTAAAATTTTTGCTTATACAATTTAATATGCTTCAAACAGCCTTTAAACAACATTCCGCATAATGTTCAGATTTTCAACTTTTAGAATAGATTTCAATAGAGTCATTTTTATACAATTAGATTATAAATTATATTTATTGATGTTCATTTATACTTTTACCACTGATTCGGAAAAATCCCTCTGTCCTGGAAGGATCCCAACAGCATTTTTTAAATGATTGATTATAATGAAGATATACCGTCATATACAAACAGAGAGATACATTCAGACAAATACTCTGTCTGGACTGACTGACAAACAGGCACACATACTCCGAGGGAAAAACCTTAGCAATAAGGGTTCCGTTTTCCCGAATGGCGTGGAATACTAAAACAAAACATTAGATCTATTAGTATTTCCATTAGTAATGTTCAGAATATGTAATGAAGGTAGACCACTTTAAAAGTGTTAGATGGTGGAAACCTATTTGGATAAACGTGACGAAATAGTGTAACTATGGAGAGTGACGTCCGTTATCAAGTTATGCTAGGCTTATGACAAATCCATTTAGATTAAGAAGCCATTGCAGGATTGTTAACATACTAATGATAATAATTACGTATCTCATTACATGGGTCATTCCTCAAAATATTTTACGTATGTAAACACTAAAATAGAAAGTGAATTTGTTAATACATAATTTTAAGAGATTACGGTAGTTTATATAGTATGTAAATGTAAAAAATGGTTAAGATTAATAAGATAAATAGGTCACCAGCTTTTCATTTTCATCCTCCATGTCGAGGCGGGCAGCGATGCAATTGCGTGTGTCGAGGAAGGCGCGCCGCTGCGCCGTCTCCATCAGCGAGTGCATCAGCGCTCCCACCACGTTCACGCACACGAACACAACCACGTTGGCTACCATCTGTTGTACAAGTAAAAATTCAAATAAATGTGAGCTGTCGACGTAAGTTCTTAAAGTCTACTATAGTACATAGGCTGTATAAATAATGTGCCAGTAACACACGTACTTTCAAAAATTGTCTGTACACAATATGCAGGGCTGACGGGTTACTAAGTTCGAAATCAATGCTCTCGCAATTACGTTTTCTTTGGTTACCAGTTTATGGAAATAAGGATTAGCATTTTTAGACCATCTTTCCTTATTAATTTGGTCATTAGAGTCTAGTCCGTCAGTCAGCAGAGTGTTACTATGTTCAGATGAGGTAGACAATTGGTGAAGTTATTTTGAAGCAGTAATGACAAATCCTTTACAACTTAATTCTAATTCTAGATCAATTATTGATAATACATATTAAGTAGGTCGGGGAAAAAGTTTCTTGGTGTTTTATTATATACAAATTCAAGACATCTTTTTCAAAGTTTAATTACATTTAATTATAATATATATGTGGCATTTTGTTTAATAACTTGTTGCCATCTTGTGTGGGTAGCGACATAATCTCGTTGCTGTAGAAATAAACTACCCAAAGAATCCTGAAGAGACCGAAACAGGTGCAAGGTCAGATCTAAATGGTGAATGCATTAACACTTCCAAACCATGAAACGTCATGATGAAAGACCACTCCTTTTCTGTCGATCAATTCCGGTCGTTTTTCTTAATTTGTTGCTTGATCTCATCAGTTGTTGGTAGTAGAGATTTAAATCGAAGGTTTTGGCCGGCAGTTAAAGTTCATAATAAACGATGCATTTCCAATCTCACCATAAACACAACATGACCTTATTGCGTGTTAATCCGGGTTTCGCTACAGTCTGTGGGTCTTGACTACCCTTTTGACTATAATCTATTTCGCACGTTTTTGTCGTAGGTGATCAACTTTTTATCGCCAGTAATCAATCTTTTTAAAAATGGTTCAGTTTCATAACATTTCAAACGAGAATCGCAAATGAGTACACGATTCATTAGGTTTCTTTCAGTGAGCTCGTGTATCCAAATATCGAACTTTTTCAAATGGGTCAAACTGTTTTGTGGTTAATCCTCAATTCCCCGGCCATGTCGTAATTACTAATATGCCTATATTGCTTTTCTTGCTCCACTTTTTCAAAAATGCCATCGATATTCGTAAGAGAGCGGCAACCAGCTGCATGTTTGACATCAAAATGCCTGGACTGAAAACGATTGAACCAACTTTGCGCTATTCTTACTGACATTACATGAGGTCCATAAACATTAAAAAATTTTTTCGCGGCTTGAGTCGCATTTTCCCTTTTTTGTATTAAAACTTCAGAATGTATAGAATATCTTCGTTAGATTCACTCATTTTGGCGGATAGAATAACAATTGAAAATGGCGGGAAAGTGTTTTTTAATTTATTTTTTAGTTTTCTTAATGTCCTATATGTATTGATATTAAAACCAGCCAGATGCAAACAGTACAACCAAAGAGATTTTTGTTCAATTTTATACAAACAAACTATGTAGAAACTTTTTCCCCGACCTTATTATACTAAATTGAAATGGGACGTATTCAAAGAGGATTCAACCTAAGCTCGGGTCAAAAATGAGTAATATAATATGCCAAATAAAGTACAGTATGAGCGATTTCAAGAAAATACCAGTCGAAGCAAAATTACAAACAGATTGAAGTAGGCTGTATTGAAATAGCGACTCAAACTGCAAACGTCACGTCGTCTTAATATTTATTAATGTTCAATAAAGCATTATTATCTATTCAACGGGTACTAAATGTAATTTTATACGTATATATAATTACTGTCCATATTAATAGTTAATCAATGGATTATTATTATTACAAGGTTTCAAAGTTTCATAACTGACCTTGTATCGCAGAAGCGTGTAAACACGACATGTAAATGAATATTAATTATAGTATTTTGTTTAAGAACTCACATTCCTTTTTATTAAGCAGTACTAACATCATGTTTAAAACAAACTTTAGTTGCTAGTTTAATACCTCCTTAAATAGGCAAGTTGAACTAAAAAATTGACAGCGCCATCATACACATTTGTAACACTGTTACCATATTCTTCGCAGACAAAACTGCTTGTAGACAACAAACTTTACTGTGTTCAGTTTAAAAAGTACATTCGCTTGAAATTTATAATTCTAGCAGTCATTAAAATGAATAATTCACGATATTTTATCACTGCAAATATCTAAGGCCTTACAAAATGGAAGTCTATAAAAAAACGCGAGCCAAATGGAACGTTATCAATCAGTGTTCCTCGAAAACGACATTCGATGCTAATACAGTAATCGTTTCGTCTCATATTATATTAATTAAAGCTTTAGAAGATATAGATGTTAATACTAAAAACAGAAATGCACATAATATTATGTATATTTAATATGTAAGTTTAAAAATATTACATAACCAAATTACAATGATATTTATAGAATGTTCAACGCCACATAGGGTATGAGAAGGCAATGTGTGGATCAATCACAGAAATCTAAATAATAATGCAATATTATTTAGATTTCTGTGGGATCAATAAAATAATTATTCAATTTAAAAAAAGCCTTTCATTATAAATAATAAGATTTATTAAAAGAAATCTAAAAATTATAGATACAGTAACGTAATACTATAATTATTTACATGAAGAAATGTTTTAGTAATAATGAAATTTAAAGAATAACGGTCGCCACACACGGTTAGTTGAACTGATCATTCCAACTGCTCAGTTAAAACTATAACAGTTGATAATTTTTTTTTAATAGTGGATTTTCGATATGTCGATAAATAAATTTATATATATTAAACTCCGATATTGATAGGTATATTTATAATGATCGATATATTGAAAACCACTATTTTAAAAAATATCAACAGTTTTAGTTTGAACTGATCGGATGCAATGATCAGTTGAACTGACCGTGTGTGGCGACCAGAGAGATTTGTGATCTTCTTTGTTTGACCTTGATTACAGGCGTCTCATGGCCGCCTTAGCCACTTGCCATCAGATGGGTTGTTAGCTTGATTGTCATTTTAATATTAACAAATAATTTCGTGTCCAAAAAGCCCTTAAAACAATTAAGGAGGCCCTTGTTTCACACCTTTTTTTAATATGACATAAATGGAATGCAAACATATCTATCGAGGACTAACACACAATAGAATTTTATGTAAGCTGCTTTTACAATATTATAAAGTAACAATAGCATCATCAGCCCGCGGCAGTATACTGCTGTACATAGACCCCTCCTAAGGTGCGCCACTTAGCCAGGTAATGGACTTATATTTTTTTTTTAAAAATTAGAAAATTGTCAACTTTGAATGCGTTAGTCTGCAGTGAATATGTGAATCAAAACATCGGGTTTTCTACTATAAAACAATTCAATTAAAGCGGTAGAAAATTCCTAAATTCTAGTTTCATTAAATGAAACAATTCTAAAATACTAATTACCTACTGAATTCCCGATAATAGGTATGAATAGCTTAGCACAGTCCATAGACACAGACCTACATCTGCACTCGATTAAGAATCAAAATGCGTTGTTATCCCTGTGGACTTAGATAGAATGCCTGGTTTCGATGTGAATTACTGAAGTATTATTATTATATTTAAGTATTATATTATTATTTACTTCATGCAGTCAGACGCATCAGAGATCTAAAAGATTCGAGCATTTTATTGCACCGCAATTTATTCTATAATCTGACTCATAAAAGAAAAGCTATGTTTCACACACAATTACATTAATTTATCCGCAACAGTTCAAAAACTTACATCAGAACTAAGATATCGACCACGACAAAGATAATCTGAAACACGTTGTAAAGTGCATCCCGACTTATTTCGTTACTAAGCTTTTTTTTAAAGACTTAAACATTTTAATAACTTAAATTGAAAATTTTTAAAGCCACTGAAACAAAAGAGCTGATGATCTTCAAAGAGCTAAACCGATTTTGATAAAAGATGTCTAAAAACCACCGCTAGAAACCATGCTTTTAAATTAAAAAAAACGGCACCCAAATCGGTTCACACGTTTAAGGCGCTACCTCCAGCGAACGACCTTGAGCGTTTGGTCTGTCGACGCTCGCTACAATATATCGCGTAAGAAATCGCCAAAAGACGCCACCTACTGCTACGAACGTAGTATTATTTTTTCAATGTCAATGAACTCTTCTATGGAAATAGACACGGCGTACAATGATAAATGTATTTTAATTTTCTTTATTCGGTATATTAGTTGCATTATATTAGAATTATGTATTCTAATATATTATCTAATTAATAAAAATGACTATTTTGATTATTTTTAACTATATACTATACTGCTAATATTGAATTAGCTTTTTATAGTGTAAATTATAATATTTGTCGAAATATTAATTATGGATTCGAACTTTACATGCTAATGGTGCTTCATTTTTGTTATTTTCATTTACTTACATATTGAAAATATACTTGAATAGTAGTTATTATTATTTTATTTAGCTACTGAATTTTAGGATATGTTTTACCTTGAGGTCAAATATAATTTTGAAGAGCAATAGTTATTACCTACTAATCTTTTATCTGCTATTCCTTATTTAGGAACAATATTAGTAAATTGAGTTTGAGGGAGATTTACTTTTTATAATGCTACATTTATTATTTTAATATTTACCTACTGGGTAGGTAATTATTAAAATAATAAATATAGCATTAGTAACTAAATAGATATATTTTTTTAAATTTTTAAAATTAAAATTTTCGTATTTTTAAAAATTACTAAAAAAAAGGGTTTGAAATAATAGATTTTCTCACAAAAGAAGGGAACTTGAAAAAGAAAGGGAAAAAAAGCGGGACCAAAGCCAAGACCCGAACCACGGAACTCCGATATCACGCCCGACCGACATATCACCTGAGCTATAACGACCGTTAATGATTTGTCGAAATTTACCTTCTTATATTGTAGCAGTTTTTTTATTGCCTGAAAATTTGGACAAAAGG